TTGAATATGAATGTTGATTATTGAAATATTGAAAATATCATGAATGAATTATATATTGTGTGCATGATATCAAATGGTTGTTTGTGAATTGAGATTCAATTTATGTGGATGTTCGACGCTTTAGATATGCTTACTCAGCTTCATCGCTGAGCGTGTAGTATGTTTTATTTGCTACACGCAGGTAGACAGAATGAATGATGGGCATGTTCCTGGCAGCGGAAGGGGCGAGATTGTCGTGGTAGAATTTGTGATTTTAAAATAAATAATTGTGTTGTTATTTAACATGGTTTAAATTGCTTCCGCATTATTGTTAAACATTCCGTATTTTGCTACAGTTATGTATTAAACAATATTTATGATGAATAAAAGTATTTGAAATGTTTTAAATTTTACGATTACCAAGTTAATACTTTAGTCCGAAAGGGGCTGCAGACCTGGACGGATTAGGGTGTTACAGGTCCCTCGACGTTCCGCCTGCAGACGCCGAGTGGAGGAGATGTGCCCAGGACTTGGAATTCCGAGAACTTGGTTAAGTTTTATCAATAGATTTCGAATGTACACGGCCCCCAAAATAGGGGATGTAAGTCAAACATTCGTGCTCGGCACGCCTCCTTAGGAGAAGAGCCGAGCGCAGACCATACCCGGATGCTCTTCCCGGATGAAGGTCTAACTTTCGTACTCGGCGCTCCTCCTCAGGGGAAGATCCGAGCGCAGACCATACCCGGACGTTTTTCCCGGATGGAGGTCAAACATTCGTGCTCGGCACTCCCCCTCAGGGGAAGAGCCGAGCGCAGACCATATCCGGATGCTCTTCACGGATAAAGGTCTAACCTTCGTACTCGGCACTCCTCCTCAGGGGAAGAGCCGAGCGCAGACCATACCCCGACGTTTTTCCCGGATAGTCAAACATTCGTGCTCGGCACTCCACCTCAGGGGGAAGAGCCGAGCGCGAACCTGTGCTCAACACACCCCCTTGGGAGGAGGGCGGAGCGCAACCCTTAAGGCTAATGGCGAAAAGTGAAAACAAGACTTAATCAAATCCAAATTTTATTCATCCCGGAAAACGGGCAAGTACATGGCACAAACGCCTTACAATAATTAAACACCTTGCAACTAAAGTACGGGTAGACTTCAATGCATGCCACAATTCCACCCCCGCTCGCAAGGGCAAGGTGGGGGGTAGGAAGGTGAAGGAGCCCGACTGATGATGGAGTGCCCGGTAGACTCGTCATAGCTGGGCGAGCCTGGGTCTTCAAGGGAGCACCGGCTCGGATGGTGGGATGCCACGGAGCTCTCGCTTGGAACCGCTGCGGGAGGAGCTGGAGGGCGGCGACCTTGGCCACTGCAGCCGGCAGGAAACGGGGGAGCGACGACCTCACGAAGGACCGGCGGAGCCGACGGAGCCGGCGGAGATGGGGTCCTCTCGTCCTCCTCCGACGAATAGTAGATGAACCCCGGGATCTTGGCAGAAGGATCGGGGTGCACCGACTCGGACTCAGAGTCCGAGTCCCAAGAGTCCCGCAGAGAGGGCGGCGGGGTCGAGCTCGGCCCCAACTCGGTCGGAATGGCAGAAGAGCCCGCGAGGGAGTAGTTGCCGAAGGAGAACGTCTCTCCTCGCATCTCACTGGAATCGGGAGGAGTGGGTGCCGAGCGCGGCATGGCAAGATTTGAAGAAATTCAAAGATGAGTGAAAACAAATTGTGAGGACCCCCCCCCCCTTATATAGGCATCTTGCCAAAGGGGGGAAGGTACACGTGGCAGCACGGGGACGGTTGAACTGGCGGCAGGTCAAAAGGTCCCAGGTCCCAAGGTTGTCTCGGTTAACGAGGGGACAGAAAAGGGACCAAGTCCCAAAGTGACCTCTCTTCGGCATGGCCGAGCTCAGGTCGGATGGGGGATGGGCGAGCACGTAAGTTAACGGAAACGACGAAAGACGGTAAAATTAAAGGCAAGAGGGAAAGCATAATATATCCATACAAAGCAAAAACCCGAATTCAAAAAACAATAAGCTCTGAGTAGCATTACATCAAATACTACAAAGTTTAGTCATATCACTCGGCATTCGGCTGCTCGCCGGCCGTGTCCCCGCCATTCGGGTAGTAGATGGAAGTGTCAAACTCGTCAGGGTTGTCGCATGGTTCGGGGAAGTCTATCCCGGCGAGGAACCTATCGGAGAGGACCTGCTGCGCTCGGAACAGACCAAGGTTGTACCACGACTTCCCTTCGGAGTGAGCAAAGGCTTTCCCCTCGGGAGTCTGCCCCAGGCCTTGAGTAGATCATCCATGCGGGCGAAGGCCTCATCCTGGAACAGCCCCGAGGATATGAACTCGGCCACGGCCTGATCGCGAGCCTCCTGGCGCGCCTTGCGAGCAGCCTCCTCCGCGAGCTGCTGAGCCCGCTCCTCGGCCTGGCGAGCTTGCTCCTTGGCCGCCTTCAACGCCTCATTGAGGTCGGCTATCTCAACATAAGCCCGGCTCCGGTCATCCTCACTGGCGCGCAGCCGCTGACTCATGTCAACCATGCGCA